TATTTTATTATGATAATGAACAGGCTGCATTGTCAAGGCGTGCGTGCATGCGGCACCGGCACAATCACTTGAGTTTTTTCCTTCTAACAGTGGAAGAAACTACTCCTTTTAGTCATAAAGATAATCGGAATTGTAAAAGGTTTGCCTTTATTTGTGTACATTCACAATAAAAGCAAATCTTTGTGCTTTTGTAAAATAAGCCTAAAGAGAAATAGGATGCCGCTTTCTGCCGTCTGGTTTCCTTTCGCGCAGCACAAAAATGAACCGAAACTCTGCATGCTAGGCTACTTGTTACAGTTTTTCTTTCATTTTCTTAATTTATTATTTAAGTAAAATATATATTTCTCATATAGGCCTATTTATCGTTATATATATAGGCCAATAACCTAGCTTTATTATGTTTTTCTCCGCTCGCAGAAGCGCTGCAGGTGCGTGATGTGATATGATGACCATGTGAATCCTCATGTTGTGTTGTTTGCTGCTTTTTGCACATGTAAATTAATCCCCGGGAAACAAATGTTAGTATTTTTAACGGGTCAAAGACACTTATCCTTTCTAATTTAATTCAATTCTAATTAAAAATAATCTTGTCGGTTAACGGTTAATAATTGGTTAATGAGCGTCGGTTGTCGGTTAGGAAAAATAACCGAAATGAACATCCCTAGTAGAAACTGGTTAAGATATCCTTTAAGGTGTACAAGTGGGATGGACACAAGTACCCAATTACACTGAATTTTAAGTAATGAAAACACATTTGTTTCGTAACGCAGTTTGATTGAATTTGGATTTGAAGACATTTAACTGTGATTAAAAATCCAGTGACAGTCGTACACAAATATACCCCCTCTCCTCTCAAAAGAAAAAAAAAGTTTTGTTTTGGGATTACTTACAGTGTCATATTTGCTGTATGAATGCCTATCCCCATGTATAACCTGAAGGATACAGCTGAAAATCTCTTCTGTGCTTTATTAATAGACTAAGTCTTTGAGCAAACAGACTTGCCGAATGAGTTTGATGTGAATGTGATGGAGTTACTGTGATTTAATGCTAAAAAAAGAAGTGTTTGAATGAACTGCTTCAGAGGTGCTTGAGAGGGTGAGAGATGCATTCTGAATATAAAATAGTACACGAACCTACAATGACAGACAGTGATTGTGTCAGATGCTTCTTTTTACTCATGAATGATTGTTTTATAATGATTTAAAAAGTGTTGTTCACCATGATGCTGTTTATTTATTTATTATATAATTATCAATCCTAATATTTCTTGGATTGAAAAGTTCCTCGGTCAGCTACACTGTCTGGAAACTGTTTGGCTAAACCTGAAAACAAGCATTTATGAAATCAAAAAGTAGTAAAAAAAAAAAAAAAAAAGTACACCGAGTAATGAGATATCTGTGGCAACATTGTTTCTGTGATAAGGAAGCAGATAAATATGTATAGCTTAGTGGATTTTTCTACCACAATTTTCCTTATAAGACATAAACAATTTATTGTATTTTATTTGTTTATTTATTTATACATTTTTGAATTGTTCAATCTTAGAGGCCATGAGTAACACTTTATAATAAATCTTAATGTTTAAAAATCATTGTTCCAGACATGACCATACGGCTTCTTAGTACCTTCTCTCTTTTCACTACTCTGTCTCTCTGCCCTGGCTAATCTGTCAGTGTCTCTTCTTAATTGCATGATTGTGTTGTTTTTATACATTAATGTAGTTCGTTCATATTGTGTTTGATGTGTGGTTATGAGTGTGTGTGTTTTAGGACATGAAAAAACGTGATCACTAACAGTCAAGTCAGCTTTATTTATATAGCGCTTTATACAATACAGATTGTGTCAAAGCTGCTTTACAGTATTAAGCAGGAAAATAGTGCGTTGATATTGCAAGAGGACGATAGTAAACATGTAATTTTCCAGTTAAAGTCACTTCATCATTGATTCAGTGATGTCTTCATCCAGCTCAGCTCTGTTCGAATTGTATCTGTGCAATCAAGTCGACGAGTGGCGCGGAGCGACAAAATATTATGGAACTCATTAAAATCAGTGATTCTGTCTACACCGTAGATATATATACATATCTATGGTCTAAACTGGATGCGGCACGACACGACAATTCCCCGACAGAAAACTGCTGCTGCGTTCTATTTATGACGTCTTGACACAAATTTCAAATGATTTTCAACGGTCGCATCCAGTGTACTAGACAGACTTTAGCTGTTGCGGCGCAGACAAGCTGTTACTCACCTATCGAGAAGAAACAAAGCAACCTCGGCGTCCGATCGCAGGTCTTCCTCTCCTTGAGTTCTCTCCAGCGCTGGAAAGCTGATCCGATATTTACACGGGTCCTACTTCTTGCCTTATTGCCTTAAGCCTTCTTTTGTTTTTTATTCGCCATCTCTATCTTTCTGTCGCTCGGCTCGGCTAATGTCCGTCCTGTGCACTGAACGCTCTCTCCTCCACATCATGAGTAGACACGCCCCTTACTGCTGATTGGCTACAAGTTTGTTTTGCTACTCGGCCCGAATCAGTTTTCTAAAGTGTTTTTGAAAAATCACTTACCCCACCTTTAAACTATATTTCAGTACCGTTTCAATTAAGTCTAGTCAAACTCTCCTCAAAACTGATTTCACCTTACTGACATGATTCAAAAAATGACAAACGATCAGGGTAGTTCATCATTTACTCAATATACGTGTAATTCCGATGTTATTGTTACATTAAACACTAAATGAGCTGAAGTGAGCTTAGCACCATATGTTTAAACTGCACTTTTTCATACAAGGCAAGCAGATGCTTGTATACTGTGTTGTCATTCTTCCAAAATCGAATGTCTTGTCTGTTTTTCCACATACAGTGATTGTATGTCTTCAGAAGATTGAGATTTATATAAATAAGCTTTCCATTGATGTATGGTTTGTTAGGATAGAACAATATTTGGTCGAGATACAACTATTTGAAAATCTGGAATCTGAGGGTGCAAAAAAATCTAAATATTGAGAAAATCGTCTTTAGAGTTAGTTGTCCAAATGAAGTTCTTAGCAATGCATATTACTAATCAAAAATTAAGTTTTAATATATTTACAGTAGGAAATTTACTAAATATATTAATGGAACATGATCTTTAATTAATATCCTAATGATTTTTGGCATAAAAGAAAAATCTATAATTTTGACCCATACTATGTATTTTTTTGTTTTGTGGTCCAGGCTCACATATAGCTAATTTGTGCATTGACAGCTAATGATCCCCATGCACGTTCATTATAAGCAAAAGAAAAGCTTGGACATCACCTTTTGTGGTTCCAAGAAAAGAAAACGAATTTAAACTATTTTTCATTTAAAGGTAAAATGTGAATATCATCTTCTAAATCCCTTATTAATCTTACCAGTAAGACCATATTTAAATCCGGCTCCCAGGATTCCACACATGAGTGTGAAAATGTAAAAGTATGAACCCGGCGAGGAGCATTTCAGTGAATTTTCCGGAGTCTAGAAGTCATGCGAGCATTGAAATATATGGTTATTTAGCTACCGATAAAACCTTTAACACATTTCCCCATATTTAAATCCCATCACACATTAGCTCAAAAAGTAAAAAAATTGCGTGTGGATTACGCAGTGTATTTGCCGGGCTCTCTAGCAAGACATAAGAGCGTGGAAATATAAGGTGTTACCAAACACCGTAACAAGCTCTATCCGGTCACAGAGCCAGAGATAGCACTGAAAGATGAGATGAAATGAAAGTTTTATTTCCGTCAGCGCATGTGGGAGACGTTTAAGAGAATGATATAACGACGATGGCTGTGATGCCATTGAGGAGCCAGAGTAATCTGATTCATAAAACTGGATTTTCAGAGATGAACTGCACTTAGCGCTTACGGGAGTGTTCGCAGACACACACTCAAACACATTCCTACCTGTTTCTACCCTCAACCCACCTCTGTGACTCCCACCTGCTCTCTTCATGTGTATGTGTGTTTGAGCAGAGAAATAGTTCAGCTGGGAATGTGACTCTGGTTCCAAGAATAGCCGTGAGTCTGAAACTCTGAGACGAAAATAGCAGCACAGCGCTCCTCTCATCTCCTAGCAACAGGCTCCCCCACGCCCTCTCCAGCCATTTCAATACATTTCTTTTGTCCTTTTCACGATTACTTTGTGCTCTCTCTCCTTCCTTCACCTTTATGCTCCGTCTTCAGAGTTCCAGCTGAGCTGCTCTTTATTTAGTCTCTATCACTATTTCTCAAATTTACCGAAGCTGACTTTCTTAGTGTTTAAATCTTTGCACGACTGCTGGTTATGTAATTCTGCTTTAGAATGGGAGGCGTTTTTTATTTATTTATTTATGTTTTAATACGGCAGTTGCAGCGATTGGAAGTCGCGCTGCTGCATTTTGAACCAAAGCGCTTCTGAGAACATTCTGTGCTTAATATAACTCGTTCTTGGCTGCCCTTTTTTTAAGGACAAAAAAAATATATCACTGAACCGCACAGACTGTGCTTGCTTACTCTCTCAGCATCCCTGCCTGTCCTTGCACATCATTCCCTCTTAGTGTAGCTCCTGCATCGTTTTCCCTGCTCCGGGTTCAGGGTCAGATTGTCTCTTAACGGTAACTGTCATGCGTCACGAACAGCTGACCCCAGATCAGGTAACTTTGCTTACACTGATCATTCCTCAGGTGCACTTTAACTATTCTTCTGCTAGTAGCATGTTTCTCTTTCCTTTGTCCGCTTGTATTGCTCCTTCACCTGACCCAGCCTTGTTTCTCTTCCTCTAAATTTCCTCTTGTGCAGAAGAACTTTCAAGTTGTCTTGCTCTGAACCCAAACCTTCACATGCACCCTAAAATTATTCTTCCAGTCATTTTCTTTGACTGATACACACACAGCTATGCTGCGTTTGAGATCTCCTCCCAGCTCTTTCCTCTTTGCCCCAAATGAACATGGTTATCAAAAAAACCAACAGCTACTGTTTTATATATATATTGTCTCACAGGTTCCTCCATTTTTCTCACTTGTCTCCTTTTCATTCTCTCTGTAGAAGCGGAAGTCGAGCTCTACCATTCAGTACATGGTGAGAATCTTGTTTCATTTACACCCTTCTGTTTTCTTTCATCTTCCTCTTCTTGTACCTCCACCTACTGTACCAGCTATTGTGCGACACTTTCCTCTGAAGTCATACTTCCTGCATTTCTGTGGGACCTAATGAATTGATGGCCATTATTAAACCTACTCAGACTGGTTCGGTTTAAATAAATAAATAAATAAAATGGTGTGTTTTTTTACTGGTCAGCTAATCTTGGATCTTAGTCTCAGCCTCACAGGCCACCCACACTCTATCCACTAAGCACCTGATTCATATTGTCTGACTGGCTGACTTTAGCCTGGTTTTTCCACATCAAGAATGATAACAGTACCTATGTTAGTTTCCACACTTATGGAAGATAACGCTCATAGAATTAGAACAAGTACTAAAACTACATAGTTAAAGGAATAGTTCACACAAAAATTATTTTAATAAAGACCTCCTGAAGTGAATCGATGCATTTGTGTAAGAAAAGTACCCATATTTATGGATATCAATATTTACGGGTACGGCACTCTCTAATGAACACGCGTGCGACAGTTAGCAGAAGCTAGAGATTACGGTTTATAAAGTTTTAAGTATGTATATTATAATTAAATATAAATATGTCGATTATAATTTTGAGCAAAATATTTTTTATCAGTTTAACTGTTATACAGCATGACGAAAATGTGACTACAATTTCATTGACTAAAATGCTTAGACAATTAGTCGACTAAAACCTGACTAAAAAACAGGACACGGTTGACTAAATATAATAACAAAAATATACATTTGACAAAAGACTAAAGCCCCGTTCACACCAAGAACGATAACTTTAAAGCTAACGATATTAGCGCCCACACCAGCGGGCAGTTCTTGGCCAGAACACACTGTGGACTAGACTTTTTGGAGCTCAGTCAAAGATCTGGCTTTGTGAGACCACTTGGACCCAGTAAATGTGTCCCGATTTCTTTAGCATTTTCTGACAAACACTGGGTTCCTCCTACTTGCTGTTCTTTACCTTGTTTGAATCAACCAGCTCCTATTGACACCACAGACCTCCTGGGTCTCGTTCTGCATGTTAGTAATCGGATGTATTTTGGTTGACACTGACCACTCCAGAAGCTTTCTAAAGCAGGTTTAGGAGAGTCCTTTCTGCTCATACACAGGTAGGCAATGGAAAAGACACACAGAATAAGACCCTGTGTTTTTCCCAATATTTCCATAGGATCTGAAGATCCTATTTATGCACATCCCAGGGTTCTGACTGCACCAAATCTGCTTGCTTCCTTTGCAGGATTGACGCTTATGTTCTCTGTGCTCAGGATTTTTTCCTTATGGTTCCCATAAGAGGGATAGCATTGCTGGTTGTCCTTCCTGACGATATCCCTGTATACTTGGATAAAGTTGGACTTCCATAGCGACCCATGACCATCTGCGATAAGTTTTTGGGAATTGTTAATGTTTACATTAAGTCTGCTAGCCATCATATGGTCCAGTTAGGAACAATATGTATTTAAATGTGTGCCCATAGTGCCAAAGTCATTTCATGATGTGTTTGTGCTCGTGTATGTGGGTTTATTTCATGTTTGTGAGGATCCAGTAGTCGTGATCTGCTGTTCATTCATCTCCCTTGACCTGCCTTCCGCACATAGACACATGATAACGACACCTCTCACGCGAGTGCCTGAGCCGTACGAGGGGAAACGCACCGTTAGCTACCTCGATATCACCGCAAGCTCATAGACGTGAGGCCTGAGGGACCCCGAGTACAAATAAACACCCATTGCTAATCCGCCTCTGCATGTAATGTGGCTAATTAGTATAATGGATTAGTTTAGGAAGCCTAATTGGCAAAAAGCATTTTTATGGACTTTAATAATGACCCTCCCGTCCTTCTCGCTGCTAGAGAACATTCTCGATGAATAAGGTTGTTTTCATGTAAATAGGTAGTTGGCACTACATCAGTCAGTTACCTTAAAGCAGATAATGACTGTACCCTACTGCATGTGTGAGTGTGATTGTGTGCATGTGCATGCCAATCTCTCCCTCGTTCCTTCTTAACCGAATGTATGTTGTGTTTCCCTGCACAGCCCCAGACAAACAGCACCAAAAACAGCATAGTCACCAGTCCCAAGGGAAACCTCCCCTCTCCTGCACTGGTATTTACCTCTCTAATCCTTTTCTTTTCTTCCACTCCATCCTTTTTTCCCATCTGCCTGTGACTGTACTTGCAATCTGTTTTCTTTTGAGCTGTTTTGCAAACTTTTTTATTGCATACGAGTACAAACCTTGTGAAAAAAAATGTGCAATTAAAAGTAAATAATATAAACATTATGTATATTATAATGCAGACGTGCAATAAATGGAATAAAATGGATGAACTGCAGATAGATACAGTGGCCTTTAATTATTTTTGTGCACTGTAGCTGCCCTAAAATGTATGCAGCCATTTTCGCTATTACTTTTAACTAACTGGTGTCAGGGTGATTTTAATGGATGTAAGAAGTTCTCTATTTCTCAAGTTCTCAAATGTGTTTTAAAAGAGTAACTACATGTACAGTTCATCATATTAATGATGAACATGTTACACTATGGTTTGAGAACCACAATGTGGCCATATGCATTCATTTTTAACAATATGTCAGTTTGAAACCTAACAAAAAGTGCTTTTGATATCTTTTCTGAAACACAAGACACTTGGTTTGATGATTAGTTATCTAATGCAATGACGTTCTTGCATTTTTAAGTGTCTAAGGTGACCAGATTCTTTTGGGGCCGTTATATTTCAGTATATTTAGTGAGCAGTGTTCAGGGCGTCTGCAGTATCATCATTACGATCTGGATTGGTTTGGGGATAGAAACTCCTCCTGGAGCTCTTAGAATCAGCTCTTAAACGGTTTTTACAGTTTCCTGGCTGCAGTGCTGAGAAGAGGCTGTTTGGTTCACTGAGATCCTTAATGGTGTTCCTCGCTTAAATCCACTGGGTCCAGTATACTGTAGTTGTCAATTGAGTTGAATGTTTACAGCCCTGAGCAGTGCAGGTGTGTTATTAGTGTGTGTGTGTGTGTGCGTGCGTGTGTGTGCGCGCATCTCAGAGAGTTTGAAGAACTGCGTTTATTTGTAATTGATTCTTTTTTGTAACATTCTAAATGACTTTAATGTCATGTTTGATTTATGCGATCAGTTTATTTAAAAACATTCTTACTGACAAATATGTTTGTGTGTGTGTGTGTGTGTGTGTGTATATGTACTTTTTATTTTATACTTGAGAGATCTGTGAATTCTCTAGGAATTGTGCCTGCTGTTTTCATATAAATGCATATTATGAATACACTGTTTATTTTATTTGCAAGCATCTCTTATATAAAACTCTGTTGTATGCAATGCTAATTTCACCAAGTGAAAGGAGGTGTGTTTGTGCTGAAGATAAAAATATTATTTAAAATTAAAGGCACAGCACTATTCCAAAGTAGGTAGTTTCGAATAAGGTTTTGTAAATGACCCAGTCTTAAAGTGGCACAGTTGTTTTTTGAATTAAGCCTTATGCCTTATGTCTATGTCCATGGACCCAGTTAAGCTGTTTATTCAACTGTTTATTCAGTTGCTCTCTGACATTCTGATATATTACTATACACTCTAGTCACACATTTATGGGGTTGTTTATTTGATTGCATAATGCCAGTTTGCCTTTCAGTGTCTGCTTTGATCCGGTGGATGATGAAGGTTGTTTGTTGCTTGGAGTTGGCAGGGAATTTAATAAATGTCATTATGCCAGGGTGGTGGGTACATGGATGATGTGATTGTTTAATGTTTAATGACATGCTTGAGGGATATAGATGGATAGTCTATGTTCTGAGTGGAGTTTTGTCGATTTCTGTGGTCTGTAAAAGCTCTGAAGAGGTTTTAGAGTGAACTCCAAGCATTAAGGAAGGAAGCTCCTAATGGAAACATGACATGCGTTTCAACACATCCAGCTATTGCAACACGTGGCCCAATGCATCAGAATATTTTAGGATCTCTCATAGTTGCCCTTTAATGCTGCCACTGTGGAGTTTGTGTGTGTGTACACGGTGTGTTTTATAGTGCAGATAGAGTTACTCAACCCTGAAGTGAGGAGGTGTTTATGGTCAGTAAAGACTCTAGCCTTAGTGCTTTGTTTCATGGCTTCCCTTCCAGCTTTACTATTAACTGTATGGTTATGTAGGACTGGGTGATATTTTTCTTTTGTACCCTTATTTGATATATATCTCCATATTATGGTTTTGTATTTAAAATTTGCTTTGCCTTCTCTTTTTTCACCCAATAAGAGGAACTACTATTTTAACCAAACAGCCAAGGATACTCAAAATATTGTATGTAAGAACTAAAAAAAAACGATTAATAATAATGAAATCTTAAAAAAAAAAAACAGTTGTAACTAATTTATGTGCCAGTATAACAATGCATGGTAGTATACAACAATATTTATCCACTTGTATTTTCTATATTTTGAATATTTTACTAAAATGTTTTAGTATTTGGAAAATGGTCATTTAACTGACAAATGTTTGAACGGGACAGTTTGAACTCTATCAATGCTAACACTGTTTTATTTAAAGACAGTATTAAAGCATCTGTTGTAATGCATACTATGTTGACATTATATATATAGCTATATGACAATAAAAATTTATTTATTAAGGTATAGTTAATCCAAAAATGAAAATCCTGTCATTATTTATTCACCCTCAAGTTGTTCCAAACCTGTATGAATATGTTTCTTCTGTTTGTTTGTTTTCCATACTATGGAAGTCAGTGGCTACCGTCAACTGTTTGCTTACCAACATTCATCCAAAATATCTTCTGTGTTCAACAGAACAAAGAAATTCATACAGGTTTGGAACAACTTGAGGGTGCATAAAAAAAATTGATTGGCTGAACCCAATTTTTGGCTGAACTTTCCCTTTAAAAATGAATTTTTTTGTCAGCATTTTCAGATTCTTATAGACTTTGAGTAACCTTAGTATGCGACTGCTGCCTGTTGCACGGGGCAACGGTTGTCGTGGCAATGAATACCCCATAATGATGGGGAGCGCATGCTGCTGATTGGCCAGTGAAGGAATGTTAGTTCCTGCAAGAGAGAAGTGGGCATTACAGATTTATGTGCTCTGATGTGCGTCTAGCTAGCAGGTTTCCGGAGTTAACGGCATAAAATAAACATGTTTGTTTAGCCGCTGCGATAGCGTCCGTCGAAATCACGCTATTTCACTTTCAGCGATACGTTGCTGTGCATTCGTAGTCAGTTGTTTTGAAATATTAGAGCCTAGCGTGCAATCTTTTGTTTTATGAAGCTCTCCGCTGTTGAACCTCTGTTGGTTTTTGTGCATGTTTTTTTTGTTCATTTTTACTGGGTTGGCAATCACAAACACCCATCCACCCACACGCTCTCTCTCTCACTTGTTCTTTTTTTCGCCTCATCTTTTTCCACCCCCTCCTCCCCTGTCGCTCTGTAGGAGGCACAGACCACTGTCATCCATAATGCAGTGGATGGGATTAAGGTACCCCAGCACCACCACTCTTCTTCTTTCTTTCCCACCATCCGTCCTCTGTTTGATCTGCATCCCCACAATGCATTTCTGCTAATGTGACTACAGACTATGACATCATGCCTGTTGGCTGCATGCGTGACTCTTTTGACATTTAATGTGTACTTGCACTCGTGCTCTTTGAAACTGGTTCAATAACTCATTATTATTAACAAATTGTGCCTAAACATAACATGCAAACAAGTATTCTAATGAAAGGCATGTGGTGTCGGAAGTATCGAGCCGTTTGTGTGCCGCTCCTTTCTGATTGTTTCGAGATCAATTGTAATAGTGATATTTATGAATGATCATGACGATGGGAAATGACTCTTGGCACATCAGATGTTTGCAGTATGAGGCTGAAGAGCAACAGTTGGAAATCTGTGTCATGATAAGAATATTAAACCTGCTGTCTCGGGTCTCTCTGCTTCTGACTGTGTTACAGAGAGACCTCTTGTGGGGGTCGTTGAAAGTGCCACTTGCGAAACAAGTTCCCTTGACATTAAAAAATGATTCCTGATGAAGTCTTTTTTTTTAATTGCATTTTGTACTTCTAGTACTTCTAGTCATCTTTAAAAAAAATAGAACATAGAATAGAAATGAAATGGAATGCATTTAAATGTAGATATTTCTTTGAAATAGAATTTCTCGTAATACTTGTACAGTCATTTTTGATTAATTTAATGCACCCATGAAAAAAAAAATTATATATATATATATTATTATTATTTTTTTATTATTCTATTATTTAAATTAATTTATATTTTTAAACCGAGTTGTCGGTGAATTTACTAGGGATTGTGCCTGCTGATTACAGTACATAATTTTATATGCAAGCAGCTTTCAAATAAAACAAAACTGAAAAGTGGCTCATTTGTGCTAAGAGTAACAATGTCTTCATTAAAATACTTGAATTTATAGGCACAGAACCATGAATTTAACTATCTGTCAGTACAATGTAAATGTTAAAGATTCATGCATGTGTTTCGAAAGCAAAGAAAATGTTTGGCTGCTGTATATTGATTTTGTCCCGTTACTGAAGCAAGATTTTACAGAGGCAAGTGGATGCAGAAGCAACATGTCGATTCTCCCAGGCGGCTGTAGTGATGTAGTGAAGTTTAGATCTGGGCCGAGTTGTTCTGCCAGCGGTTGCTGTTCTGTGTGAATTCTGAATTGGGCTTAATCTCCCCCTTGAATATGAGCTATTAGACCCTTGCGTGGGAAGCTGTCCATTTCACCACATTTGACACTTTCCTTGTACAGGTGTAACAAGGTCTGTAGCGCAGCGTAGATGATGGAATGACAGAACAAAAGCCTTTTCAAGAGCACCTAATAATATCGCCCCACATACTCATGGCCTATTTACAGCAGGAGCTGGTGTCCTTGGTGATCGCTACGGTTACACTGTGATTGGTGCACGGTCCCGTTTCTCAGGTGACCATGCCCTCCTCCTCAATGATTGAGACATCATTCTGTCGATGAATTCAGTTGAGTAATAAGGTACAAGAGGAAGTGCTGCGGTGCGTGAATACTTACAGCTACAAGGTGTTGTTGCAGCCCTTTCAGCTTTGACTGTTTTCTCAGTACTGCATGGCTAATTTAAAAATCCAAAATATTTGTTCAAACTTTATTTTAGTAAGAATTTTATTGCAATGGTTTTGCATCAGGACTCTGCTTTAAATTAGACATCAAGTGGTGACCCAACACAGGACCAAAATGATTTGTCATACAGGTGGATATAGTCATTTTTTTTTTACTTTTTTTTTTTATATTAAAATAAGGGTTATTATAGCATTATACCATTAAACTTTTTAAGCCCTTAAACTTCAATTAGTGTAACTTGGATCTACTGAAATAACAAAAACAAAAAAAACTACAAACCTGAAATAAAAATTATAAATATATACATTTTTATATAGAATTAAGTTTTTTATTTCAGTGTTTAGTAAAATAAAGTTAGCTGCCATGACAAAATTTCAGATTTTTGTGTGCCTTGTATTTCTGCTTTGTTCAGTTACCAAAAATGATTTAGGTAATAATAATAGTTTGTTAAAAAATAGTTTTAGACTATTTTAGACTAAACACTGATTTAATTTACTTTTACTTTTTGACCCTACTCAATATATGTTTTGCAAGGATCCCCTTTCTGTTAAACATAATTTATTGGACTGTCCAGCTTTTAATGTACAGAAAAAACTCTTTTATGAAGCGAACTCACTTAAAGAGTTTAGTCAAATTTTGCCAGGAAAAGTTTTAGAATTTTTATCACGTTAATATAAAAAATCTTGTGTGATATAACTTGTGTTTGTTTGTTTGCTGGTTTTTATTGTATTTATTATACTTTTTCTTTGATATATTTTGTTCGAGTTTTTTGAAGATTAGGATTAGAATTTGATCATCTTCTAATGCCAGAATATGTTCAATTGGAGATAACCCCAATTTTCAAATCTACACTTTATTTTTCTTTTCAGTCAGAAGCTCTGAGGCTGCTTAGTTAGACCCATCAAATCACATCTAAGAAATTGAACATGAATTCACATGATGCAAAATAAATGTGCATCCAGTATGCACCAAAGAAGACTGCTGTGGGCCAAGAATGTGTTGTTTTATATCACTCTTTGAGCATGGAAGCGTTTGCAGTATTCTTGTACTCATCTCTCAGATTTCAGCACAGGATATTGTGAAATTAGGAAAGAGAATTGAGTTCATAACGTTCATTCCTGGTGGAGATGTGGCCTGTGTTTAATATCATTATGTATGTGAGTGGGATTATAACAAACATAACAAGCCTCTTCTAATGGCCATGCATCATTGAACGGTTAATTGTGCGTGTGATTCCCCAGAGTTCTGCTGTTTATGTGTTCATTTATGGTGTGTGTGTGTATGACAATGAGAGCGGGGGCTATGGCACTAGCTGGTGTAATTCTTTCTGAAAAATGTTAAAATGTAATATGTTGTCTAACTAATTGGCACTCTGTGTCTGAATATCACAGGAGTCATCGGACAGCAGTAATGCCACAGTGGAGGACGAGGAAATGAAAGGTAAGACTCAACTGTCAGCATTTGTATGGAACAACACACAAGCTTTTGTTCAGACAGGCTGCAACAATCTGATACTTGTTTGTAGTCTGAATAGCAACGAAAATATAATACCGTATGTAGGTTGAAATCCCATTAAAATCAGATTTTTGTTCAGTACATTCAGTGTGTCATCTTTCTGCAATGACATCTGCTCTCTTACAGTATGTCTTTTCACATTTGGGCTGATTCGAAAGGGATTGTTCACCCAAAAATGGAAATTCTGTATTAAATAATTAAACTGAATAGCTATTTACTCATCTTTGTGTTTTTCCATGACTGTATGATTTGCTTTCTTCTCCAAAACACACAAAAAAAGAGATTTTAAAGGATGTTTTAACAGTTTTTTTCCATGCCGTGAAGGTCAGTGGGATCCAAAACAACACTGAACCTCATTGACTGTCACTGCATTAAAATTGACGACAAAAACAAATTTCTTTGAAATATTCTTGTGGATATCTTCTTTTGTGTTGCACAGAAGAAGTAAAATACAGGTTTGGCAAGTAAATGAAAGAGTCTTCATATTTGGGTGTACTATCACTTTAAGTATTTTTTATTGCGAGCAATATATAGTCGATGAGAGATGTTGACTACACTGTCAAAATCCGATTTTACATAGTTACAAAGCAAACCGTCAGTCCTAAATATTCATATTCATATTTGGAAAAACAAATCAGATTTACACTACCATTTAAACGTTTGTTTTATAGACATTTTTATTCAGCAATGATGAATTAAATTGATCAAAAGTGATTGTAATAACATTTGAAGTATTCCAAAAGCCTTCTATTTCAAATGAATGCTGTTTTGAACTTTATATTAATTGAAAAAAGTACTCTGAAAAATATTAAGCAGCCCATTTGTTTTCAAGATTTTTTTAAAAAAATTTAACAGAAATTAAGAAAATATAATACCGTATGTAGGTTGAAATCCAATTAAAATCAGATTTTTGTTCAGTACATTCAGTGTGTCATCTTTCTGCAATGACATCTGCTCTCTTACAGTATGTCTTTTCACATTTGGGCTGATTCGAAAGGGATTGTTCACCCAAAAATGGAAATTCTGTATTAAATAATTAAACTGAATAGCTATTTACTCATCTTTGTGTTGTTCCATGACTGTATGATTTGCTTTCTTCGCCAAAACACACAAAAAAAGAGATTTTAAAGGATGTTTTAACAGTTTTTTTCCGTGCCGTGAAGGTCAGTGGGATCCAAAACAACACTGAACCTCATTGACTGTCACTGCATTAAAATTGACGACAAAAACAAATTTCTTTGAAATATTCTTGTGGATATCTTCTTTTGTGTTGCACAGAAGAAGTAAAATACAGGTTTGGCAAGTAAATGAAAGAGTCTTCATATTTGGGTGTACTATCACTTTAAGTATTTTTTATTGCGAGCAATATATAGTCGATGAGAGATGTTGACTACACTGTCAAAATCCGATTTTACATAGTTACAAAGCAAACCGTCAGTCCTAAATATTCATATTCATATTTGGAAAAACAAATCAGATTTACACTACCATTTAAACGTTTGTTTTATAGACATTTTTATTCAGCAATGATGAATTAAATTGATCAAAAGTGATTGTAATAACATTTGAAGTATTCCAAAAGCCTTCTATTTCAAATGAATGCTGTTTTGAACTTTATATTAATTGAAAAAAGTACTCTGAAAAATATTAAGCAGCCCATTTGTTTTCAAGATTTTTTTAAAAAAATTTAACAGAAATTATTAGAATGATTTCCGAAGGATCATGTGACACTGAAGACTTCAGTTTTCAGCTTTTCCATCACATGAATAAATTACATTTTTAAATGTATTCAAATAGAAAACAGTTCTTTTAAATTGTAATAACATTTCACAATATTACTGGTTTACCTGTATTTTTGATCAAATAAATGCAGCCTTGGAGAGCGTTAGAGAATTCTTTAAAAAAAAACATTAAGATATTACCAACCTCAAACTTTTTAAATGGTAGTGTATGCAGAGTAGAAACAAAAGTCTATAAACATTTGATATTCACGTCATGGTCCATTAATAATAAACAGAAATTTAGTGAGAAGTTTTTATCCTGAGCTCATTCGGTGCTCACTTCTGGGCTCAAAACTGTGTTCTGTGTTGGTGTCAGCTCTCTCTGCCCCAGAACAAGGCAAGGGCACCTTGTGCTATAATTAAGCTCAGTGGGAAACAGAGACCCTGGCTATTTCAGAGCATGTGTGCGAGTGTGTGTATGAGCAGAAAACGTGCCGCCAAATTTATGGGCAGACCAGGAAAGCTTGTAGATAACAGTTCAGTTCAGTCAAACCCCAGCACCCAGCCTGACTCCGCCCACACACCTCCCGGCCCCTCCCCTGCTCTCTTCAGTAAGTGCCCTCTGACTGCCGTGACCTCATCCACCTTCCCATAATCCCCTTTTGCATGTGTGTGTTGCAGATCAGCACTAAAATTAGTAAAGTTGTGCCATCAAATGAGAAGCATTAATGAAGCTTGTGGTTGTAATTTGTGTTCTCATTAGTAAATGGGTACATTAATATTTTTAGTTTAGCAGTTTTCTGTGTCCTAAATGTTTAACCATTTTCAGGTGTTTTTTCTGGATTTATTTAGATGGATAATTCAACAAAAAAAAATGAAAATTGTCATTATTTACTCACCTTACTTTCATGTTCTTCCAAACCTGTATGAGTTTCTTTTCCTCTAAGGGGGCTGTTTACACAAAATGCTATTTCCAACTTAAAAAACGGAAAATCTTTAATGCGTTTTCGCCATTCATTTACACAACAAGTTTCAAAGTGCGAGCTTTTGAAAATGATACTGTTATAGTCTCGAATATTATCATAACATTTTTTAATTATATTTTTTTTAAATGTCGTGGGCATGCATATTACGTGTTTGAATAGTGTTCCTTTAAAAAGTGATATTGCCAACTACTGGCCTGGCATGCATAATACAGCACTGTAAGTTGTTTTCGTGGATCCAGGAATCGTTTTTGACAAAGTTGTCGTCTGTGCACAAAAAAACGCACAGGAAAAGCTTTTCCGTTTTTAGCTTATAGTTGTTGTATAAACGTACCCTGAAAAAGAAATTAGATATTATAAATATATATGTAATGTGTGTGTGTATATATATGCACATTATCGTTCAAAATTTTGGGGTCACTTAAAAATTTTTTTTAAGTATTGCATGCCCACTGAGACTTTTATTTAATCAAAATTTCAGAAATTAAGTAATATTGTGAAATAACATTACAATTTAAAATAACTTATATATTTCAAAATGTAATTTATTCCTGTGATGGAAAAACTGTATTTTCAGCATTACTTTAGTGCTACATGATCCTTTAGAGATCATTCTGATAAGCTGAATTGGTGTTCAAGAAACATTTCTTATTCTGCATTTTTTGATGAATAGAAAATAGAAAACCGTTTATTCCTAATTACCTTTAAAGGGAAAGTTCACCCAAAAGTGTAAATTCAGTCATTAATTACTCACCCTCATGTCGTTCCAAACCCGCAAGACGTTTGTTCATCTTCGGAACACAAATGAAGATATTTTTGATGAAATTTTAATTTGTGTTTGTATTTTTGGGTGAACTATCCCTTAACTTTTGAACGGTAGTGTATATTTCATTTAGAAAAATACCATACAAGTCCATTTAATCATTTGCTATGGTCTTATGGTAGCTTTGTGTAAAAAGGCTGAAATTATTTACTAATAAATCTTACTTCTACTGCAGCTCAGATACCCAAAAATCATTGAATTTTTGAGTTAACTGTTCCATTAATGCCACTGCTATTCCTGTTCCGCTCCTTTTCTAAGCTCAACTCCACTCTGTTATTTCTGTCCTGCCCTGTCTGGGCCCACAGCTGCCACTAAGTTCACTGATCTATTGGGTGTGGTACGTCGGGGCTCGGTGCCCACATCTGATGGTGAGGGGGGAAGCACTATCACTCCAGCTGTTGTTTCTGCCCCCTCCACTCCCCAGACCCCCAGCACTCCCACACAGAGTAAGTCCCTGATGGACCAGTATGCAAGAGAGGTCCATTCAGGAGTAGTTGCTGACTCCATGTTTATTACAAACTTGTCACTCACTGCATATTTGATTCGCCATGTTTTCTCCTAGCAGCTAGTTGTTTATCTCTTTTTTTTTTTCTGTCATCTGCCTTTCGTCAATTATGCATCCAGTGTCACGTTTGACTGACCTAGTGAGCAGTGTGCGCAGACCTACAGCCCCTCATACAGACAGTGAGCCATCAGCAGCCAGCAGACCCCTTACTGCCCCAGTATCTGCCCCATCACACCCCTCCCCTTCCCCTGCCCAACCGTCCACCAGCCCCCTGCCGTCAGCACATTGTGAGTATGTGGTGTCAGTGTCTATGCTGGCATTACTGCCACAGCAGCATGAGTTATTGATTTCCTGGGAGTATAAAAAGGCAGCGGTGATGCTACTGGGCTAACATGCATACAGTGTGGATTTCACGGGTGATTTAATGACATTGCTGTGTACACCAGGGAGTAGCATGTGTCGTGTCTCAAATGCATCATCTGTGACCACTTTTGTATTATGAAGAGGAGAGTGTCTCACAAGGGTTATTGCAGGCTTTTACAGCACATACACACACAAAAAAGATTATATCCCCAGAGTTGAGGGCTTTATTAAAATAACATTAATAGAAAATAATGTGTGTCTGTATGTACAGTGGGGCAAAAAAGTATTTAGTCAGCCACCAATTGTGCAAGTTCTCCCACTTAAAAAGATGAGAGAGGCCTGTAATTTTCATCATAGGTATACCTCAACTATGTAATACTTATACTTATACCAAATACTTATTTTACCGAGGAATTTACCAATTAATTCTTTAAAAATCATACAATGTGATTTTCTGGATTTTTTTTTTCTCATTTTGTCTCTCATAGTTGAGGTATACCTATGATGAAAATTACAGGCCTCTCTCATCTTTTTAAGTGGGAGAACTTGCACAATTGGTGGCTGACTAAATACTTTTTTTCCCCACTGTATGTATGTGTGTGTATATACATATATATATATATTAGGGGTGCATCGGTTCAACTTACTCACTGTTCGGTTTGTATCGCGGTTTTAGAGTCACTGTTTTGGTACGGTTCGGTATGTGCTATGTTTAGGGCAAAAAACTATATTGTCAAATAAAAATAAAGAAAATAAGAACAAATAATCTAACTACAAGTAACAGCACAAATAATAAACAGTGAAAAAAGATACAAATAAAATAAAGGTACAGAAATTGAATAAATCAAATGTAAAATAACATTGCATATTTGACTGTATAAATTAGAGATTAATCCTTATTAAAGTTACAAAAGTTATTTAGGGTGGATGTTCAAACAACCTGTTTTTTTTCTGTTTTGTTTAACACGTTATAAATGAGTCTGCTGAATAAAATAGAGTGAACCTGTGGAATGTTTTAAAGGAGATGACTTTGCTTACCCATAATGCTCCTCCTGCGCATACTAGTTCAAGATAAGTTGGCTCCTGTTAACACTTGACCTCCTCTTTCTACAGCACGCAAACAGGAGATCATCAAAATCACTGAGCAGCTTATTGAGGCCATCAACAATGGCGACTTTGAAGCCTATGCGTAAGTCACTTGTGTATTTTTTACTTTATTTACCCACAGTTGACCGTAAACGAGATGGCACTGAAACAATGATTTTAATTCTTTCCAGTAAAATCTGCGACCATGGACTCACCTGCTTTGAACCTGAGGCCTTGGGAAACCTGGTGGAGGGGATGGACTTCCACAGATTTTACTTTGAGAACTGTAAGTTGAATCGGATTACTCTTCACTTCTATCCTGTCGGTCATGACGTCTGTTCATTAAAGTGTGGCCATTTCTCACTCTGTCATAGTGCTGTCTAAGAACAGTAAGCCCATCCACACCACCATCCTCAACCCTCACGTGCACCTGATTGGAGAGGAGGCCGCCTGCATCGCCTACATCCGCCTCACGCAATATGTGGATGGACAGGGCCGGCCGCGCAGCAGCCAATCGGAAGAGACGAGGGTGTGGCATCGTCGCGACTCCAAATGGCAGAATGTCCATTTCCACTGTTCGGGAGCTCCAGCCGCCCCTCTACAGTGAAGGTACATCCTCATATAGACGGATATAATGTTATTTAATGCTAGAGTTTTTAACAAATGCTCCTTGTGCCTTAACCTAATTTTCAACGTTTGAATTAGAATTTAAATTAAAAAATTAAAATAGAAAACTGCTATTTAAAATTGTACAATTATTTCACAATATTACTGTTTTTAATACAGAGTTCTGGCATGAAACTCATGCGCAGTCCGATAGGTCTTGCTCAATCTGACCTGGCGACATCATTGTCACATGGCAGCTGATTGGTTCTCTCCTGTATCGGTAGCCAATGAGCTTACTGCTCAATATTCAAATACCTGGCTTTTGTTTGCTGTAGCAGTTTGCAGCACGCACAGAAACCCTCCACCTTCCCCAGCTCCACCTGTATAGATCTGCTACGGGGTGATTCATGTATGCTATATGGGGGTTATTCATATGTGTTATATGTGCAGCAGCAGTATTTCTTACATGCTTTCCGCAGCATGTTGTGGATGTATTGGCAGTAGCAAGTCTCGGTACTTGCTCTGCCGCAGCAGCAGCATAGCAGATCTATTCCGCCAAATACATTTATTTTATTTATTTATTGGTTTATTTAATAGGGACCTTGCATATTCATGAACATTGTTTTATAAATATACACCATGTAAACATGCCAGAATTAGTAACAATAACTACTTTTCATCTGCAGTCCCTAGGCAGGTAACATAAAACTAACATAAAGACAGCCAACAATAATACAACGTTCATTCACTATAAATGAAAAGATACACATAATGGTGACATATACATTGACAACAAACAACAAAACAAAACAGAAATACATGATGGAGAAGACTTTGTTCATCCACCTCTATACTACATTCAATTTAACAGTGAAAGTGTATGGGTGATAAATGTGTGACAATTAAAAATTAATACATCTCTGGTTTTCTAGAAGCCACTGTTTTAAGTGAGTTTTAAAGGTGTTGAATGTAGGACACTCTCTTATTGGGAGGGGCAAACTATTCCAGAGTTTACCGCCTATTATTGACAATACGTTTTGTCCAAAAGTGGTACGCCTAAATGGTATCACACAGTCCCCATTTACAGAGGCCCGTGTGCTACCTCCGCTTTCAAGTCTTTGGAAAAAGCCATGCAGCGGAGGGGGGGCAAGATTATGTAACACTTTATATACCAAACAAGCATACTTGAGACGTTTGAAATGGTCAAAGCTTAAAAATGTATGTCTCTCTAAGATGTCGCAATGGTGGAATGACGAAGACATTAACATTGTCATGTACATTACCATGCCAGTCCCTCCGAGAGTTGTCATGACAGAACTGTATTTTTGATCAAGTTAATGCAGTGTTGGTAAGCATTTTAAAAAACAAATAGAAAATCGTAGCCGTCCCAAGCTTTTGAATAGTAGTGTACAGTTGTGCACATAAGTTTACATACCCCTTGCAGAATATGCACAATGCATAATTTTAACAAAATAAGAGGGATCATGAAAATTGCATGTTCTTGTTTATTTAATACTGTCTTGAATAAGCTATTTCACATAACAGATGTTTATATATACCCCACAATACAAAATAATAACTGAATTTGTAAAAATGAACCCGTTCAAAAGTTTGCATACCCTTAAATCTTAATACTGTGTGTCATTTCCTGGATGATCCATGACTGTTTTTATGTTTTGTGATAGTTGTTCATGAGTCCCTTGTTGGTCCTGCACATTCTTTGGTATTTCTTCTGCATATCTGAACCCTTGCAGCAGTGACTGTATGATTTTGAAATCCATCTTTTCAAGCTGAGGACAATTGAGGGACTCATACATAATAATTACAAACGGTCAAAATATTTACTGATGCTCAAGAAGGCAACACGATGCATTAAAGGCACAGTATGTAAGTTTTCACCGCTAGAGGGTGCGTATTCAAAACAAACAAATGTGGAATCATGGGAGTTGTCGTCTTCATCCCCACAGCCGATGCAATCTGACGGGACTCCGGCAGAAATCATGTTCATGGATGAGCTAATGTATTAAAGATTTATTAACGTAGTATGAAGCATGGTGAGGCTGAAAGCCGTCGAAGCGAAACGAGGCCGCTGAAGCAATTGCTAATGAGAGACGAGAGTGACACACGGCTTGAAAGCAGCGGAGCTTTTATTATGCCACAGTCGCTGTTTTATCATACTAGATACATTTGAAATTTCTGTTATAATGCTACTCTTGGAAACATGTATTTTTTTCCACACTCATGTTAACGGATTAAAGCGTTCACTGCACGCAGCTGCGGCCCGGCAGTGCGTTCAGGAGCGGTGCGTCTGCAGTGCAGAGATCGTTTCCGCACCGAGTCTATTGCTGCGCTGCAAGCACTGAATTAAAGTGACAGCGCATTGTTTGCAGTAAATATGAACATGGATTGACACGAAAATGTAGTAATTACACCATAAATGCATATTATTAAAATCTACTGTGTTTCACAGTCAACACATGGCTTTTTGGCTAGGTTTAAAGGGAAAGAGCACTTTTAGGTAAATAAGGCAATAATAGATGGCACTTTAGATGGTAATAAGATTTCAATGCAAAAGGAAAGGCAGTAGAGCTGTCTATTTCTGTCAATAGTAAGTTTGTGATAACGTAAGAAAAGTAGTTTAAATGTTTTGCCACTTGCTTGAGCAACTTAATATATAAATCTAGACGTAAATGCAAAAGTAAAAAGCATTGAATAATGTGTTGCTTATATTTATTGTGTTTAAACATGTCTGTAAAAGATTGTATTACTGTACTGTGTAAAAAAAAAATTGCAATGCTGAAAAAGCATTTTCAGTGACAATGTTTGGATTTGAAATCAGAATAATGGATAAATGTTGTGTTTGTGGTAAACAGCCACGGATCAGTAGCGGACTCCTGTGTGAAAGCACAGTTCGTGCTGCTTCCCCTCTCAGAAGAATTCCCCCCATTTTCAAAAATGAAATAAATGTCTAAAAATCCTGATTGGAGTATCACTATATATAGTTATAAATGATAAATAGAAGGCTTTAAAAAGATCGGTATCGGCAGATACTGCTGTGATCGGCGATCGGTGATCGGCCTCAAAAACCCTGATCGGAGCACCCCTAATAAAAACATGGATCATCCAGGAAATGACACACAGTATTAATATTCATTTTTATAAATACAGGTATTATTTTGTCTTGTGGAGTATATATAAACATATGTTCTGTGAAATAGCTTATTCAAGACAGTACTAAATAAAAAATAACATGCAATTTTCATGATCCCTCTTATTTTGTGAAAATTCTTAACATTTTGCATATTCTTCAAGGGGTATGTAAACTTATGAGCACAACTGTATATAGAGAGACTGGAGCTAGTTGTCTCACTTTTTAGGGCAGGTTCATTTATTGAAGTCATTTTCTGTGTCTTAAAATCTTGGCTACATTTAACACATTGACCTGTAGATATGGTTTTTAACACTTATTTTTGAAATATGAAATGCTATCTGTCATATCTTTTGTTTATATTTAGCTATGTTTACTTTAAAAGTAAATTATAACGAGTCATAAAAATGTGTTAGATTTGCAAACAAAAAGTAAACAAATTTGAAGGACACACAGCTAACAATCTTTTCTTTCCTTAGGTTGAGCTCATTGTAGCCACATCTAACAAGAGTGTCCAGCCAGAAATGGAGAGTGCAAGAGTGAAAGAGAGAGAGTGGGGGAGGGGGGGAAGTTGGAGAGAGGGAGGAAGGAAAGTGACCTTCCCACACTGGGCCCGGCCCCCTCGCCTGTCAATCACCTCACCTGCCAATCACTTTTGTGCATCGTCTTTTGTCTTACCTTCAAGTTTAACCCCTCCCTCCTTCGCTCCCAGACACGTCCCTGTATCTTTACACCCATGCAGAGACCCCCTTTGTTGTGCACATGTGCTGTGTGGAGTTGGACAGTCTTTGATTAGTACGGATAATAAGGCCGAGTCGTCTGTGAAATGCCATGCTTTCCGTCGCACCTTCCCAGTGTGAATAATGTTACACTGATTCGCCGTCCTCACTTACAGTGTGTAGATTTTCAATATTATTGTTGTTATTATTATTATGATTAATATTGTTCTTACTGTTGTTATTAGTATTAAATACAAAGGCAATTGTACGTGTCACTTACACAATTCACGTTCTGGATGCCAATGATTTTTAATTTATGCCTTTTCTTTTCCGGACATTTTTGGCGAGCATGAATTATTCTGTATATCCAAAGCGGCCTTGGTGATATAGAGAAATAATGGCCACCGTTTATGTACAGGCTTCTCAATGTGATTCATATCCAACCAACGCATCTGTCCATGCGTTTAAACGTTAGTGGACATATGTTGGTATGTGTGACTGTTTTGGGGCAGATTCTACCAGAGCCTGAGTAAGAACGACGTGACGTTCGGGGTCTTCCAGCTTTAATCGTTATTTCTCGCATCATTAGTGCAGATTTGGGGAAAACTCTGCAGATTTTCTGTCAATTGGCGAACTTTGTATTGGATAAACAACTCCTTGTTCTGGAAAGCCACAATTGTTCTTTATATGTAACCTGTGACACCAGTTGCAACATTAGTATTAGACGGGTGTGCCGCGCACGTCCTGAAAAGTGAAGCTGCGGGCTCTTTGATCGCCCCCTGGTGGCTGGTTGCAGTACAGGTCATAAACCCCGCCCTCTCCATGTAAACGAATGGGACTTGAGTCAAAATAAAAAAATGAATTATACCAAGTTCCAGTTCAATTTTCCGAAAGATGGTTTTGGTCATTTAAGGTAATTGTTATCACGCTGATATATGTTCAATTGTTCGTTTTTGTGATAAGTTTGATTTTAGCTAGTAATTTGATGCTGTTAAAACTGGGCGTTTCGTTATGGTTGATTGGGTCTGCAGGAGTTTGGGGGGGAGTTTGATACCACGCTCCACCTCACGACACTACTGCGCAGACTCTGGCTCCAAACGAATCTCTACTGCGTAGACTCGGGCTCCAAACAGTTCTCTACTGCGCAGACTCGGGCTCCAAACGAATCTCTACTGTGCAGACTCTGGCTTCAAACTAATCTCTACTGCGCAGTCTCGGGCTCCAAATGAATCTCGACTTGGGCTCCAAACTAATCTCTAATGTGCAGACTCTGGCTCCAAACGAATCTCTACTGCGCAGACTCGGCCTCCAAACGAATCTCTACTGCGCAGACTCGGCCTCCAAACGAATCTCTACTGCGCAGACTCTGGCTCCAAACAATTCTCTACTGCGCAGACTCTGGCTTCAAACGAATCTCTACTGCGCCGACTCTGGCTCCAAATGACGTAATTTACTCAAGATGGCAGCGGCCACACCGAGATGCTTTGGCTTCACTTTTATACAGTGGAAGGAATAGGAGATGCGTCGTCCATCTTTTTTTTTTTTTGCACTCGGCCTCCAAACGAATCTCTACTGCGCAGACTCGGGCTCCAAACGAATCTCTACTGCGCAGACTCGGCCTCCAAACGAATCTCTACTGCGCAGACTCGGCCTCCAAACGAATCTCTACTGCGCAGACTCTGGCTCCAAACAATTCTCTACTGCGCAGACTCTGGCTTCAAACGAATCTCTACTGCGCCGACTCTGGCTCCAAATGACGTAATTTACTCAAGATGGCAGCGGCCACACCGAGATGCTTTGGCTTCACTTTTATACAGTGGAAGGAATAGGAGATGCGTCGTCCATCTTTTTTTTTTTTTGCGGTCTATGGAATTAGATATTAGTGTTGCGCTTTTTTGGATTTTTTTTCCGTTACTACTTCAGCTGAGCCAGCGGTGTTCGGAAAGCGCCCATACAGTTGGACTGACCGAATCAAACTAAAATCCATACCTCAGCTGAACATACAGTAGGTGTACCAGATGACCTCCTCATTCATGCGTTTTCTCGGACTATGGAAAGATGTGGACATCCAATGACATTAGAGGAGTTCGGAAAAAAAAAAAAAAACTATTGTATCTCTACGCTAGTCATAATAGAGATTTAAAATCATCGGAGGCCGTTAAAGAGCAGCTGATTAGAGGAACTTGCGAAATTCGTTTAAAAATTAAGATTTCGGTGTTTTTTAACTGAAAGAATTACAATTTTTGCTCTTTTGCGTTTTTTTGCTCTTATATTTTCGCACCATATGGACATATACTTATCACTATTACTCATTCTATTTTTGAGAGTTTATATATATTTTGTTTGTCGTCTGTGTGAGACTTTTAAGGAGAGTGAAAAATGTGTTACCCTGGATCCTTTTTAAAGTGTGTTTACCCTTTGGATGGGCAAAGTGCAAGGTGTGTGAAAACTTTCGAAGAATGAGGTTTAAAATCGGCAGCAATAGTTTTATATTTCAGAAGATGGTGAGACGTAGTTTATGAAGTGTACGTCACACCTCATGCAACTTTATGCTGGTTTCAGTCTACTTTTAAAGGGTTGGTAATTGTGGTGAACTGTCGTGTCGGTGTGACATCATCACCCGGTCATGTGACTTATTTTATTGACCTTATATATTGATTGTGTCCTCAGGTTGTATTTAATTATTTGATTATTTTATTGCAAGTTCTTACGTGCTTCTTAAGTTTATGTGCGTTGCACACTTTGATGTTTGAACACACTAGCTTTGAGCCACGTCATATCGATGATGACTACTGATCTTTTGTTGTTATTATTTGAAAGAAACCATCTGAAGCGCCTCTCATATAGATAAAAAGAGGCAATCTTTTAAAATCCAATCAAAAGATTTCTCTCAAACAAAGCGACCCCGCGAGGCACGTGTTTGTGTGTTTGTGCTCCAGTGTTCTGCTTCTGTTACAGTTGCGGCTCATTCTTGGATGATTTATCTCATTCAAAACTTCACCTGTGTTTATATGAGTCGTCAGAGTTCCACGCCTGTCCACTCCCTAATAAAAAAAAAAGACAAAATCACAAAAAAACAAAACAGCATGTAAAAAGTGTACTGTTCCGTGTGTTTAGCAACGAAAATAAACATGTTAACGAGTGAAAGTGCACATCACTATTAAAACAGGACACACAGTATTGAAACTGCAGTTTACTTGCGTTTCAGCTGGATTTTCTTTGCATGACAGTCACTTGAACACTAGGTTTGGTGTTATTTATCTTTTTGATTTCATTTTTTCTATTGAATGCTGGTTTACCTAAACCTTTCTCTTATCTGTTTTACCAGCTTTGTTAAGTGCATATATTATAATATTTTTGTCCCAAAATGATGCTGACAATGGCAGTGTAAATGACGAAGACTATAGCTACGAAATGTCGATGATATTAAGATTATTGGAATGGTGATATTTCTACGGCATGCTTTTGTATTAAGCTCATTGTTGTCAATGCAGGGTGACTGATATTTATATTAACGACTATAAGATTACTCATTAGTATGAGACTGCTTGACTTCAGAGAAGCACTTGCAATATTAGCTAAATATGCATGGGTTTTTCAAAATCATTTTTAGCTAAATTTGTATCGGCAGTGACATAGTTCTGCTGTTTGTGCTTTGCGGATATTCACCAAACCTTGAATGGCCGATAAAACCGTGGATTGTTTCTGACTTCTATCTGTCTTTTATGACTAACTTAACAATTACAGCTCGGTAGGTCCAGAGAATTTCTACCTGCACCGTCTTTTAGCATAGGACTGTTTCCGTTTCACTCGTCATACCACTTCTCTGATTGGAAACAGTTCCGGATAGCTTCTCTGAAGTTGAGTTTTCTCACAGTAGCCCTCTGTTAGTTTTGTTTTTTCTGTATAAGATAATATTCTCTTTGATTTCTGATGATTCTTACTCTTGTTATTGCTCTGTTCTCAAACATGCTCTGTGTATTCCCTGACTTAAGCAAATGTGTTCAAAAGATATAAATAAATGAGATGATTTAAATACTGAAGAACTGTGTACATGTGCATTCAAAATTGACAAGCGATATATATTTTTAAAGTGTTCCAAATTTTTTTTAGCAGGCTTGGAATTTTTCTCATTCATTTTTCTTTTGCTAAAGAGTTGGGAATTACTTTAAATAATGCAGGCTGCTGGCTTATACCATCAATCAACAACCTCGTAGCTCACAGTAGATCTAATTTAACATATTAAAAATCAATTCCCCCTAGGAGAAAATTAATGGGATTTTTACTTCCTTAACCTGACTGGAAGGTAAGTTTTAAAAACCGTTAAAAAAAAAAAAAAAAGTTTAAAAACGCCTGCAGAAGTCATGGAAATAAGTCAAATCATATTTTTATAATGCAAATGGAAATTGCTTTCTTAATCACTTTGTCTTTATTTTTCATTAGCATTTAAAATGCATTTTAATAAAAAATTCTACCTTGAGGAAAAATTTATACGTTTTTTTTTTTTTTTGAAAATACACCTTTGACATGGAGGGATCAAATTAATGAATGCAAAAGTAATGTAAATCGCTTTGGATAAAAGCATACGCCAAATGCATTAATGAAACCTTTGTAATTTTAGATTTGTGCGCTTTCAGGCTTTGATTAGTTTGCATTTATTAATAGCCACCTTCCATCTTAAATGGAATTTGTGGTGACCTATTTACATTCTTCACTAATTCAAGTGTTTAACGAAAACATGGGCAATTCAATACTGCATGTCAAAAACCACGTCAATCATCATTAAATAAATTACACTGTAAAAAACAGCACATACAACTCACACAAAACTAAACGGTGTCATATACACCTTTGACATGGAGGGATCAAATTAATGAATGCAAAAGTAATGTAAATCGCTTTGGATAAAAGCATACGCCAAATGCATTAATGAAACCTTTGTAATTTTAGATTTGTGCGCTTTCAGGCTTTGATTAGTTTGCATTTATTAATAGCCACCTTCCATCTTAAATGGAATTTGTGGTGACCTATTTACATTCTTCACTAATTCAAGTGTTTAACGAAAACATGGGCAATTCAATACTGCATGTCAAAAACCACGTCAATCATCATTAAATAAATTACACTGTAAAAAACAGCACATACAACTCACACAAAACTAAACGGTGTCATAAAAATCACATTCTCACAAACCAAAAACTAACATGGCTTTCTATGAATAACCTAAGTATCAGTCTGCTTATTAAACATGCAAACAAAAAGCACTGTATACTGTTATCAGGCCAGTTTAACTAGTCTCTCGCTGGCCTCCCAAAGTTTCTTTGCTACTCCAGAATCTCTAGCGAAGGCTCTAAGGTGAGCCGGCTGACAGTCGGTGAAATATCCTCCATTGTGCTCGAGCACCTCGTCTGATACGGTGCAGTAGACCACCGTCTGCGCCCCAACCTCGCACGAAACAAAAAACATGAACATCACCACCTGCACAAGGATCCGGAACAAAACCGAGTAATGACAGATCCAGTTACTCTGAACGTAACCTGAATGAGACAAAAGTCACCAGATGAACTTCACAATAATCAGTTCAGACAATTACAGGTTCTTGCTACGGTAAAGATCACTACTATTACTGCTCAGACTTCAGCAACAGCAGAGCAACCTTTTCCACTGTTGTAAAAATGAGAAAGTCAGCCTATATTTTATATCTCACCAGGGTGAACGGCGTACGCGGTCACTCCTTTCCCCTCCAGCGTGCGAGAGAGCTCCTGTGTGAAGTAAATGTTGGCCAGCTTGCTGCGGCAGTAGGTGAAGAACCGAAACAGGTTGTAGTTGAGATCTTGAAAGTCCAGCTTCTGGTACTTGTAGCTGGAGCAGGTGAGATTGATCATTCTGCTCGGTGAACTCTCATTCAGCCACGGGAGAAGGTTGGTCAGTAAGAAGTGGCCAAGGTGGTTCACACCAAAGCACATGGAGAAATCATCATCTGTCCAGTCGAGGAATATTGAATATTGAATATCAGCAATATTGTGAAATATTATAATTTAAGAAGTGAATGTAAGAAACATTTCTTCTTAATGTTTTTGCTTTTGAATTTTTGCTGTTGAACATTTTTGTGGAAATCATGATACACCAGCATTCAAAAAGTTGGGATAAGTAAGATTTTTCAAAAAAAAAAATGTATACTTTATTTCAACAAGGCACTTTAAATTGATAAAAATGATAGCAAATAAATTTACAGTATTGCAATATCTTATAATATACTCTGTATATATTTGGAAATTATACAATATTTATTTTATTACTTGCTATAGTGCTGTACTGTTAGATGTATTATTTATTTATTTAAATTATACCCCATTTTTTATTTATTTATTTTAATCACTTTTATTGACTTTACTCAATTTTTAACGGAATCTTATTTTATTTTTATTTATTTTTTTACACTATTTTTCTCTAAAATTTCAAGGACCCCCTAATAGCCCCTAGAGGCGGGGCTAGGCATTAGAAGTAACAAGTTTACGTAATCAGATTACTTTTTTCAAGTAACTAGTTAAGTAAAACATTACTTTACATTTACAATGAAATATGTGACCCTGGACCACAAAAACAGTCTTAAGTCGCTGGGTTATATTTGTAGCCATAGCCAAAAATACATTGTATGGGTCAAAATTATAGATTTTTGTTTATGCCAAAAATCATTAGGATATTAAGTAAAGATCATGTGCCATGAAGATATTTTGTAAATTATTAAACCGTAAATATATCAAAACTTAATGATTAGTACCGGTAATATGCATTGCTAAGAACTTCATTTGGACAACTTTAAAGATGATTTTCTCAATATTTAGATTTTAGATTTTATTTAGATTTAGTTACTTTTTCTACAGAGTAACACAATATTGTAATGCATTACTTTTAAAAGTACTGGTAACACATTACTTAAAGCCTTTTACTTATAATGCATTATAAAGGCATTCATAATGTGTGCTGTAATGCATTATATCTTTTCATAAATAATTATAACCAAAGTTAAAATGCATTACAATATTTGAAAGTGTGCTTGTCATGTGTTTTAATGCATCATACTTTCTAAAGCTGAAGCAATAATAAGTGTAATGTATTATAACTGTGGTTACAAATAGTCATGAGATCATACATTGCATTATAAGGTGCATTGCAAAGCATAATTCACATACAATCAATCTGAATTATTTGAATGTGACCTGTGGTAGCATTCAAAACAGCAGCTGCCAATCAATCATGTTACTCTAAAGAGATGCTACTCTTACATAGTCGGATATATGAAGCCAAATGTACTCACTTACCAGTTATAAGAATCGTTTTTCCATCTAACCTCTTCACATCCATGCAATGCCTTCTCCGTTTCAGCCATTTCAATACCAAAAAGCACAAAAGTGCGGAAAATATAAATGTATAACAAGCACTGTTGGGAAGGTTACTTTGGAAATGTAATTGGTTACAGATTACAAGTTACCCAACTTAAAATGTAATAAGTAGTGTAACTTTTTAATTACTTTATTAAAGTAATGTAACTGATTACATTTGATTACTTTTTCATTACTTTTCTACATTTCTAATGTTTTCAACTGTTAATCATTTTCAAACATGTAATAAACCAGGCAGGGTTTAACTTACAATATGTGCTCAACACTGATAACTCTCAGACTTTCGAAATCCTTCATCACTTGAATTAAGATTATAATATTTGAATTTTAAAGGAGACGTTGGATGCAAAATATCTTCATTTGCATATAAAGGTGTCTTCGCAGTGTGTGGACACAACCACCCTACAATGATCAAAACTCACTCATTTTTTTTAATCCCCCAAAAACCTAAAGAGTCTCAATTATAAAGCCATTTTGATTTTGGAGTGAATACCAGCGCTCTCTTCCACATTTAATACCACGACTGAGGTGAGACCCTTGAGCAAGGCACCAAACCCCCAACTTTGTTGGTGTGTGTTTACGGTGTGTGTGTGTTCACTGCTGTGTGTGTGCACTTGGATGGGTTAAATGCAGAGCACAAATTCTGCGTATGGGACACCATACTTAGCCATATGTCAATTCAATTCACTTTCACTAAATTTGTTTATGTCTGGCTGCAGAAATCATTTTACTCCAGGCAGCTTTCTGAATGAGGGACAATTCAAGGCAGGTTTTGTTAAAAAGTTCAAACTCAAGGATGGATCAGTAGCCATTGTTCATGATCCAGCTGCAGATTTCAGACTTACTTTAAAATCATTCTGAGGTTAAATACATATTTAAAATCATAACAAGAAATAGTTTAATAGCTATGATACTGTTTTTGAAATCAAATCTTTGCATATCTATGACAGGAAACACTGGAATCTAACAATGCCTTAGAAAAAACAGTTAATCTTAAAAAAAATAAAGCATATACATAAACCCTATC